TACAATATCACCATTGTGAAACTATGCCGTAACTTAAGAATGTTCTACAATATCACCATTGTGAAACTATGCCGTAACTTAAGAATGTTCTACAATATTACCATTGTGAAACTATGCCGTAACTTAAGAATGTTCTCAGTTAAGAGAAGAAAACGTAAAAGACAGAGATTTGTTGACTAGGTTTACAATTAGTTATATTTTAACAGAAAGACAGAGATTTGTTGAATAGGTTTACAGTTAGTTATATTGTAACAGAAAGACAGAGATTTGTTTAGTAGGTTTACAGTTAGTTATATTGTAACAGAAAGACAGAGATTTGTTTAATAGGTTTACAGTTAGTTATATTGTAACAGAAAGACAGAGATTTGTTGAATAGGTTTACAGTTACAATATAACTAACTTATGTCACCATTTCTCATTCTGTACGATCAACAAGCACTTCAGAACGGTTCTACCACTTCAGGTCACGATTTTCGTGGCGACTAAATACAATTAAGATGTCGGTATCAACCAGTTTATGGTTAACGTTTTTTTGTTTGTTTTTTTCGTTCGTCATAGACTAAAGAATGAATATTTCCAAACATTTTAGATGTAGGATACTTACGCTTACAATATTATTAATGAATGAATGATACTTTTTAAAAAAATCATACGCAATAACTAGCATAACGATATGAATTGTTTTGCTTGTTTTATGGTACTATTCCATAATTATTTCATCAGTTCTAAAATGTAGATGTCGCACTTCCTTTATGCTTCATTATTTGACCATTAATACCAAACAACAAAAGTGGTAATTATTATTTCTTTGCTAGAGGTGATAGATATATCTACTTTTGGGCTGCATATTATGTAATAAAAATTATGCATTTTAGTCTAAAGTAATCATCACGAAATGTAAGAAATTCTAAAGAGCAGTGTATTATTTACAGGGAGGCAATGAAGACAATGCCTTTGTTTTATCAGATCCGATAGAAGGCATTCTAGTCGTAAATAAGCCTCTAGACTTTGATAAAGGAGTACGAGAATTCAAACTGGAGATACAAGCTTCGGTAAGTTGGATTACACACGAACTCTCGTCTCGTGCCTTTGTTGATGAAAAATCAAAGTGAAAACAAAACAAGTTTTCGGACATTTTTGTTGACAAAAAATGACATTTAGCTGAAGTAAATCGAATATACGTATAGTAAACCATAAATTTGTGTTTTCGAACAAAAAAAAAGGAGAAAAGAATTTATCTTGTATTTTCATTTAGAGCATCAGTTATTTAGGAACAAACATAACAGTTGCATACAGAGACACCTATTGACTTCTTTTATAGTTATCTTTATTTTGAAAGTATATATTTTTGTGCTCCACGAAGGTTTTAGTTATTATTATAACTGGAAAAAAATAATCTATAATTATACCCTAAGATCAATATTAACAAAAACGAACGTTCTTAACCACAGAAATACTGGTTTCTTGTTTTCATATTAGGATCACGGTTCTCCTCAAAGTTTGAGTACTATTACAACTATGACAATCAGGGTGAAGGATGCCGATGATCAGAATCCCGTTTTTACCCAAGAAACTTACAAAACTAGTGTCACAGAATCTCCCATTATTACGGTAAGCCTAAAACATCCTTAATACACTGAAAGTGGTTTTACACACACTGCTGCATGGTAGTGGTAAGCATACTGTTAATACATTTTTAGACTATCTTTGATTGTTGAAATAAACCTGTGTTAGACTATCTTTGATTGTTGAAATAAACCCGCGTTAGACTATCTTTGATTGTTGAAATAAACCCGCGTTAGACTATCTTTGATTGTTGAAATAAACCTGTGTTAGACTATCTTGGATTGTTGAAATAAACCCGCGTTAGACTATCTTTGATTGTTGAAATAAACCCGTGTTAGACTATCTTGGATTGTTGAAATAAACCTGTGTTAGACTAGCTTTGATTGTTGAAATAAAACCGCGTTAGACTATCTTGGATTGTTGAAATAAACCCGTGTTAGACTATCTTGGATTGTTGAAATAAACCTGTGTTAGACTAGCTTTGATTGTTGAAATAAACCTGTGTTAGACTGTCTTTGACTGTTGGAAAAAATTTATGTTAGACTAGCTTTGACTGTTTGAAGAAATATGAGTTTCTATCACTCATTTATTTGTATATAAACAAATTATTTTTACGTATAGCTCACTCCTGTCGGTCTTACTATTTTCCGTGGAATACACGCTATTGACAGAGATAAGCCTAATACAGCCAATTCTGACGTAACGTATTCGATTGTGGTAAGTGGGTGGTTTGACAAAAATAAGTAATTAATATTATAAATAAATTTAACAATCTAGTGTTACTATTTACAACTTGGAAACGTTTTCAAACATTGAATAGTCTCATTTGTAATACACATTTCTAAAATTATGTAGAAGCACTGGTGCAAAAGTTGGTTTAAAAGTGAAAAATGTTCTTGTTTTTAATTACCAATGGAAATAAACTTCGCAAAATTACACAGAAATAAATAATCTGTAAATGTCATTGAATAGACCACGATTTTAGAATTATAGTAGTAGAGTAAGGGAAATAATTCAAAACCACATTCACTGTATCAACAGTAGATTTATCACTACTATACAGCAGTGTGTGTAAAACAACTTTCAACGTATTAACAGTAGGCGTAACACTACCATACAGCAGTGTGTGTGTAAAATCACTTTCTACGTATTAACAGTAGGCTTAACACTACCATACAGCAGTGTGTGTAAAACAACTTTCAACGTATTAACAGTAGGCTTACCGCCATCATGTAACAGTATGTGTAAAACCACTTTCAATGTATTAACAGTAGGCTTACAACTACCATGTATCAGTGTGTGTAAAACCAGTTGCAATTCATTAACAGTAGACTTACCACTATCATGTAACAGTGTGTTTAAAATCACTTTCAATGTATTAACAGTAGCCTTACCACTAGCATGTATCAGTGTGTTTAAAATCACTTTCAATGTATTAACAGTAGGCTTACAATTACCATGTATCAGTGTGTGTAAAACCATTTGTAATTCATTAACAGTAGACTTACCACTATCATGTAACAGTGTGTGTAAAATCACTTTCAATGTATTAACAGTAGCCTTTCCACTATCATGTAACAGTGTGTTTAAAATCACTTTCAATGTATTAACAGTAGGCTTACCGCCATCATGTAACAGTGTGTGTGGAAAACTACTTTCAACGTATTAATAGTAGGCTTACCGCTATCTTGTATTAGTGTGTGTAAAACCACTTTCAGTGTATTAACAGTAAGCTTATCACTATCATGTAACAGAGTATGTAAAATCACTTTCAACGTATTAACAGTAGCCTTACCACTAGCATGTATCAGTGTGTTTAAAATCACTTTCAATGTATTAACAGTAGGCTTACAAATACCATGTATCAGTGTTTGTAAAACCATTTGTAATTCATTAACAGTAGACTTATCACTATCATGTAACAGAGTATGTAAAATCACTTTCAACGTATTAACAGTAGGCTTACCGCCATCGTGTAACTGTGTGTAAAAGACATTTCAGTGTCTTAACAGTAGGCTTACCACTATCGTGTAAAAGTGTGTGTAAAACCACTTTCGCGGGTTTATTTCAACAATCAAAGACAGTCTAACACGGGTTTATTTCAACAATCAAAGCTAGTCTAACACAGGTTTATTTCAACAATCAAAGACAGTCTAACACTGAGTTTTTATCTTAGTTTCGAACTAGGAGTTTTTATATTAGTTTCGGACTAGGAGTTTATCTTAGTTTCGGATTAGGAGTCTTTATCTTAGTTTTGGACTAGGATTTTTTACCTTAGTTTCGGACTAGGAGTTTTTATCTTAGTTTCGGACTATGAGTTTTTATCTTAGTTTCGAACTAGGAGTTTTTATCTTAGTTTCGGACTAGGAGTTTTTATCTTAGTTTCGGACTAGGAGTTTTTATCTTAGTTTTGGACTAGGAGTTTTTATCTTAATTTCGAACTAGGAGGTTTTATCTTAGTTTCGGACTATGAGTTTTTACCTTACTTTCGAACTAGGAGTTTTTATCTTAGTTTCGGACTACGAGTTTTTATTTTAGTTTCGGATTTTGTGAAAATGTTTATAAGGTTAATAGATTAACTTTGTTTGTTTATGTTACAGAGGGAACCGGAGAGTGTGCTGAAGTTTAAACTCAAGTGTAAAGGAGAAGCTGGAACTGTAAGTGTGAAAACACTATACTGATAACAGGAATTGTTAGTGTCAAAACACTATACTGATAACAGGAATTGTTAGTGTCAAAACACTATACTGATAACAGGAACTGTTAGTGTGAAAACACTATACTGATAACAGGAACTGTTAGTGTGAAAACACTATACCGATAACAGGAACTGTTAGTGTGATAACACTATACAGATAACAGGAACTGTTAGTGTGAAAACACTATACGATAACAGGAACTGTTAGTGTGATAAACACTATACTGATAACAGGAACTGTTAGTGTGAAAAGACTATACTGATAATAGGAACTGTTAGTGTGAAAACACTATACTGATAACAGAAACTGTTAGCGTGAAAACACTATACTGATAACAGGAACTGTTAGCGTGAAAACACTATACTGATAACAGGAACTGTTAATGTGAAAACACTATACTGATAACAGGAACTGTTAATGTGAAAACACTATACTGATAACAGGAACTGTTAGTGTGAAAACACTATATTGATAACTGGAACTGTTAGTGTGAAAACACTATACTGATAACTGGAACTGTTAGTGTGAAAAACAACATACTGGTCCTTCCATTTATAAATATGCGAATGATTAAGTCATGATAAATCATATAATATCCGGAACCAGATTGATACATTGATGAACCAGATTGATACATTGATGACAGACATAACCAGACTGATACATTGAGGAACCAGATTGATACACGGAACCAGTTTGATACATTGATGACAGACAACGGAACCAGATTGATACACGGAACCAGATTGATACATTGATGACAGACAGAACCAGATTGATACATTGATGACAGACAATATACGGAACCAGAATGATACATTGATGATAAATCGTATAATATACGGAACCAGATTGATACATTGATGACAGACATAAACATATATATATTAATAATATCATAACCTGAAATGAAATGTTTTAAACAATTATAATGAATTATTTAAAGAGCAAGAATAAGAGGTTAAAATGGACATCTGACCAATGATGGCGTTGGAAGTTACTTACAAATAAAATATACAAGTGATTGAATTAATAGCTAGGGTCGAAATGAACTTTTTTCTTAAAACACTGATTGGATACATCTTCGAAACAAGTTCGTAACTTATGAGCAGACAGAAGTGTGTGTGTGCCTTATTCGACGAAGAAAAACTTTGTTTGTTTGAGAGCAAAGCTAGATTGGGCTATGTGTTGTGTCCTCCGCGAGGAATCGAACCCCGGGTTTTAGCGTTGTAAGTTCTTAAACTTACCGATGTCTCACCTTTTGTACGTGAGTTTATAATGTATCTAAAGTTACTAATGTTTGATTGAGTAACCAGTATTCCAACATGATCTTCCAGAAAGAAGACTTCCTTCCCATTACTGTTTACGTAGAAGATATTAACGACCACGCGCCAGAGTTTCTGAACACTCCTTACCATTTGGCTGTGGACGAGGTTAGTGACGTAGAAACAATAAGATATTTTGTAGTTGTAAGTGGTTTAGAATCGCGTGATTTCTAACAATAAACTACCCTTGTGTGACTGTGAATAGTTAACAGTGTTGAGTAATATCAAGGAAAGGTTAGTGTTACAAAAGTGTAAAAAGAAAAACGAGTTATATATATATATAATATAGACAAGATATTATTGTATGACAGAAAATTGTAAAACAGTTATCTATGCTGTGCCCACTGCGGGTATCGAAACCCGATTTTTAGCGTTATAACATGTTATGTTTAGTGCAAATAAGGTAGCATTGAATAATTATAAATGGAAAAATATAATGATTTAATAACACAAGTCATGAGTAGTGACGTTTGTTTTGTTTAAGCGAATAACAATAGACTATCTGTACTGTCCCCACCGTAGGGATTTAACCCAAGATTTTAGCGTTATAAGACCCCATATTTATCGCTCAGCCATAGTGTAGTTTGCTCTAAACAAAGTAAATGATGAAATTTGTGTCTTACGTTTGGACTTTTACAGCCAAAAAAATAAAAACCCTCTAATGTTACGGGTTGGCTTATTTCTACTCTGTAAAACATTTCAATCCTGTTTGTACAGTATCACTTTGTTTATTGACGTTAATCTTCATAACAGTATAATATAGTCTAAATTTCTTAATTATATTTTTATGTCCTAAGATACTATTTAAAGCTTAATGCTATGATAAAAAATTTATTGTTAGAAGAAACCCGTGTTAGCCTATCTTTGATTGTTTGACGAAACCCGTGTTAGACTGTCTTTGATTGTTGAAATAAACCCGCGTTAGACTAGCTTTGATTGTTGAAATAAACCCGTGTTAGACTATCTTTGATTGTTGAAATAAACCCGCGTTAGACTAGCTTTGATTGTTGAAATAAACCTGTGTTAGACTAGCTTTGATTGTTGAAATAAACGCGTGTTAGACTGTCTTTGATTGTTGAAATAAACCTGTGTTAGACTATCTTTGATTGTTGAAATAAACCCTTAGTCCGAAACTAAGATAAAAACTCCTAGTCCGAAACTAAGGTAAAAAATCCTAGTCCAAAACTAAGATAAAAACTCCTAGTCCGAAACTAAGATAAAAAGCTCCTAGTCCGAAACTAAGATAAAAACTCCTAGTCCGAAACTAAGATAAAAGCTCCTAATCCGAAA